AGACAACTCATGTCCTAAACAAAAGTCCTACAGTTGCAAATTCAGGAAAAACACCACAGGAGCTGTGGACAGGTGCTACTCCATCTGCTTCACACTTCAGGGTGTTTGGTTATGTGGCTTATGCACACATACATGACAAGTTCAGGAAAAAAACCGGATGACAAGAGTGTTCCATGCCATTTTCTGGGCATTTCCAATGAGTCAAAAGCCTACAACTCTACAAGTCAGAAACAAAGAAGGTGGTGGTAAGTAGAGATGTGGTTTTTTATGAGAGCAAGGGATGGAATGAAGATATGATGTACAACCAATCCTGACAAGTTTGATATAGGAAGGAAGTGAGGATGCATGTGAAGATTCAGATGGAGAGGAAGGACCTCAAATTTCAGCTACTGCAGTTCGAGAAACTAAATTTGAAGAGGAGGAACCAACAACCCCAATAACTACAACACCTACAATTGGACTTGGATCTGCAAATAACGACACTGAGAACACCTCTATTGGTGTGCTTGGCCTACCAAGAAGCACTGAGCTAGGTCCCAGATCAAGGAAGCCTCTCAGCCATTTGAGCATATATGATTGCAATTGTGTAGAAGAACTAGCACCAGATTGGCTAGCACTTCCTGCAATTACTAAAGACCCTCAAACCTTTGAAGATGAAGTTGTGAAGGAAAAATGGAATGAAGCCATGAAGGAGATGAAGTTCATTGAGAAGAAAAATACATGGGAGTTGACTGAACTTCCTAAAGGGTTTACTCCAATTGGTCTGAAACGGCTATACAATACCAAGCTCACTGAAATTAAAGAATAGACAAGTTGAAACCTCAATTAGTAGTCAAAGGATATGCACAAAGATTTGGCATAGATTACAAAAAATAGTTTTCCCCAGTAGCTAGATGGGATACCATCAGATGTTTGCTGGACTTTGCAGCACATCATGGTTTTCCAGTTTGGCAACTAGATGTTAAAAGTGCTTTCCTGAATGGGGAACTCGATGAAGATGTTTATGTTGAGCAACCACAAGGGTTTGTGGTTGCTGGCGAGGAATCAAAAGTAAATAAGATGAAAAAGGCTCTGTATCGCCTAAAGCAGGATCCCAAGGCATGGTACAGTCGAATTGAAGCCCACTTTTTTGCTACTGGCTTTGAGAAATGCAGGAATGATGCTATACCTTGTTCATTAAAAAGGCCGAGAAAGGGTGTTATTGGTAAGCATGTATGTGGATGATGTTTTATAGACATGTACAAGTGTGGAGATGGTGACTGAGTTCAAACAATCCATGGAAGCTGAGTTTGAGATGATTGACCTGGAGAGGATGAAGTACTTTCTTGGAGTAGAAGTGATTCAAAGGGAAGAAGGCATTTTCATATACCAACAGAAGTATACTAAGAAAGTGTTGGAGAGGTTTAAGCTTGGAAGCTGCACTTTTGTCCACAATCCAATAGCTCCTTGAGAAAAACTGACTAAGGCTGGAGAAGGAGGCTCAATAGATGCAACTGAGTACAAGCAGCTCATTGGAAGTCTGTTGTACATCACTGCCACCAGACCATACTTGATGTTTGCTGTGTGTCTTTTGAGCAGGTACATAGAGTCTCCCACCAAGCAACACCCAATGGTTTCTAAGAGGGTACTTAGATAGCTGAAAGGCACACTGAGTCATGGAATTTGGTACAAGAGACAAATTGAAGAAGGTTGTTTGTTAGGATACACAGACAGTGACTATGCTAAAGACTTTGATGACAGGAAGAGTCAAGTGGATATGTTGACTTTCTTGCAGGATGAGTTGTTTCGTGGGCATCCAAGAAGAAGCCAGTGGTCACATTATCAACCACTGAAGTAGATTTTATTGTTGCATCCTACTATGCAGCACAAGGTGTGTGGCTAAGAAGGATCTTGAGTGAGATTGGTTGGGAATCAAGGGTGGACAAGGCTACTATGATCATGTGTGACAACAACTCTGCCATAAAACTCTCTAAGAATCTTGTCATTCACGGCATAAGGAAACACATAGATGTGAGGTTTCACTTCCTAAGGGATCTGGTTCGAGATGGAATTGTGGAATTGAAGTATTGTGGTACCAAAGACCAAGTTGTTGATGTAATGACTAAAGCTCTGACTTTGGAGGCCTTTCAAAGGCTCAGGGAAGAACTGGGAGTTTGTGATGTCTCTGAAGTGGTGCATAAATGAAGAGGATGAACTGAAGCTGATTGCTGAGGAGCTTCAGTTCAGGGGAGGACATGTTGGAGTGAATTCTTGCTGCACAAGGATTGGAGACATGCAAAGGTTTGAGTTTAAATCAAGTTAGTGGTCAATAAGCAATACTGTTTCGTTTGGAGTATTGCAGAGTCCGTCCATTTAGTTTGATTATTTTCATTTGAGTTCTTAGTTTTGTGGTCAGTTTGTTGAGAAATCTTAGCTGGATAGGTTGTTAGCATATCATGTTTAGCTTGATTCTAGGATAGTGGAAGGTTGTTTTCAAATATGCTCTTTACCTTCTGATGAAGACATAACATGGTTTTTCAAATATCAAAGTCTGGAGGTCACACGATGAGGGTTCCTAGTCTATAAATATGCAATACATTGCTCTAGGTTCGAACTCTCAACTTTTAGCTCGAGGACACTTGTTGCAATCGAGCAGACAATCTACAAAGTAAGAAAGTAAATGAACAAAAAAAATTATGTGGTTCATTAACCTGATGTGTGATGAGGGCATCAAAGGGCCAATTACACGTTCTAAGGCAAAGGAGATGAGAGACAAGTTTGCAACGTATTTGGGTTGTTATTTCGCAAGCATGGAAGTGGAGCTCTTCAAGTACAAGCCCTTTATGATGTTGCTAGTCCTGGAGGAAGAAGGGAGTCTCAAAGAGGAGGCAGAATGCGAGAAGAAGGAGTATAGTACTATTTTTGTTATTTGGAGCTTAAATTCGGCTAGGACTGGTTATTTGCTTTCAAAGTCGGTTTATGATGTTGTTTTCCTGGTTATGTTTGGATTTGGATTGTTTGAGGCCTATTTAAAGGGCTAAACTCTTTTGGTTTGGAGGTGAGAATATTATTATTGAATTTCAGAAATCTTTTACTTGTTCCCTTCATGGATTTTGCCCTAAATACTCTATTGAGAATTATGGAGTGTTAGAGCGACTCTTGTAAATTAGGTTAGGTATACACCCTAATCGTGGTGAGCTATCCATATCAATTGCCCTTAATTCCGAGTTGAGATTGTCTGATCGATTCTTATCAATTGCCCCTTTTCACAAGTGAGTTTTGTCTATTGATTTCCATTCTATCTTGGTATTATCTTTTGGTTCGGATTGCTTGAGCTGTGTGACTTTGACTGTATCAATGTGCGTTAGTTAATTGATGAGTAGGAGATATCAATTTCACTATTATAGTAATAATACAAATTACAAATTTGAGTTCTAGAGTCACATTAACTTGACTAACCTTATTACTAATTAGGATGTTATGGAAAATATTTATAGAGCTATTCTCCTAACTCTAAACTAAAAAGACCAATGTATGACCCAAACAAAATAACTTAAATGAACTTTCCCTCAAAAAAAAAAAAAAAAACTTAAATGAACTAGCCCAATACAAGGCTTAAAAGACAAAACATATGGACAAAAGCCAATATATATTCAAGACATCATAACAAGAGTTCTTGGTCAGTGTTTGAATCCTAATAATCATCAATATTGAGTTTGATTTGATCATAAAGTATGTTCAATCTCTAGCTAAAAACTCTTCAAAAGATCCTACATTCATTCAATGCATAATGTGGCTTTACTATCTAGTCATAAATTAAAGTATGTTCAATCTCTAGCTACAAACTCTTCAAAAGATCCTACATGCATCCAATGCATGATGTGGCTTTACTATTTAGTCATCCCTTTATATCCTATAATATCAGTTTTTTAGAGTTGATATTGACCCAGCCAGATTTGAACTTAAGAATGTGGTAAATAATGTTGAGTTGACAAAGTTTTACGTGTCTAAACATTGATCCTCTTAACTACTAGATTAAGAAGTCCAAATGTAAGTACATTCTGAACATACATCAGCTTTCTATCACGTACGTGTAGTGTTATGTCAATAGAACCAGCTGTAGTCTTGCAGAGGGCTAACGTCTGGAACCAGAAGGGAAATTCCAACAAGCAATCGATCATGACCAAATGACAGCTTCAATTCCATGCATTGGTGAATGATTGATGAGCTTCCACCGCAATCATTTCGGGAAATTGAACCTGCTGGCTCATCGATCGATCACGTAGGCATACCGGACTGGTGATGGCTGCAAATCTGCTGCAATTCTCATGTTTGCGATTCGTTGAATCATCGTCATCATCATCATCGCAAACAGAAACAGTAGTATTGTCTATGCAATCTACTGCTTTATGTCCGAAGCAGTGATCTGTGCCACGATGATGATGCATAGAGATTTCCATGAAACACCCAGTATATATGTCCATTGTATCCAGCTGGCCAGAGAGGTGATGATGAACTCGATTTCTATTTACGTGTCACAGAAGTTATTGGTACATGCACACGTAATTAACTCCATCATGCACGTACGTACAGGTATTATATATATGTAAAATTTCTCCAACTAGCTAATCCATTTCCTGCACTTACATGAAAGAATGAAAATGGTCAACCAATTAAGGTTCCTTTTTTTTTCTTCTTGCCAGCTTGTGACAAGTGTGCGTACGTAGCTTCTACATTGTACGTACAGGTCCAAGTTTTAGAATTATACCAAAGCAAAGCTAGCTCATGAAGATTGAATGGATTGCGCTTGCGGAAGCCCACAACTTAGCTTTTAGTTTCACCAACTCAAACCTTTCATATATCATGAGGACTCCATCAGAGAACCACAAGACAAGGCTTGGAAACGACTAACACCGTAACACGGTCGGTATGTATGAAAAATCTCTGAGAGTAGTAATCTAATGATAAAAAAAAATATATATATTGTTATTGGTGGTCCTAATATTATTATTTGTCATCCTAACTTTTAAACATATTTATTATTTTATTCAATTTAAAATTTGAAACCAAAGGAGCAAACAAACCCCACCCATTTGATTCCCGTCGGAAACCATACCAGACAAGACATTACCTTCCTCCCGTCGCCGAGAACAAATCAATGAGCCTACCAAGTACAGAGACGAGCCACCCTCGACCAACCGCCAATGCCAACAAAGCAGCGTCGACAACGAACACCAGCGTCAGAAGTTCCTGTCCACGAGGACTCAGCTTCCGCAAACCCGTCAAAACCTTCTGTTTAACCGCTGGTCGGAGCGCAGCATAGCGGATGTTTACCCCGGGGTTCGAAACGCAGCACACATCCATTTGACTAGAGGTGTCAATTGGGCAGGTTGGGTCGGGTTCGGATTGGGTCTAACTGGGTTGGGTTCAATCGGCTTGCGAGTTCAATCGGGTTAGTTTCAATTTGGATCGGGTTTAATTAGGTTGCAGGTCAATTGAGTAACGAGTCAATCAGGTCACTGGTCAATTGGGTTACGAATCGGGTCGGGTTACGGGTGCATCAAATTATGGGTCTATTGGGTCGCGGGTTAATTCGGGTTTGGTCAGGTCGGATTATGGGTTATTCGGGTCAACCCATTGGATCATTTACGTCTTGACAGAAAATAATGTTTTACTAACTATCAATATATAAATTGTAGGTAATGATACAAAATTTAAGAAAATGATAATATGATAATATTTTACACATACAAATTAAATATCCATCATGTTAGTATAAAAACTAAATGTATATAAAATAGTGTATATAAAAGCTTTGTTTTGGTTATAATTTTTTTGTTTATGGTGAGAGATTGTAACTTCACTAGTTTTATTAATTTATAAAAAAATTGAATATGTATAAATTTGAGAATGAAGTAAAAAAGGTAGACTATATGCTTATACATCTCGATATGAATCGTCTTAATTAAATATAGTATGAATTAAATGTGTGTCTCTTCATTTCCACGAAAACTTATGAACATCATTCCGAATCACCCACTTATATATGTTCACAATTTTTTATATATTAACAGTAACATTTCATCCTAAAACTCGTGAGTCGAACAACGGTTCGCTCAAATATGATAGTATCATCTCGTTCGAATCGTCGATTTATTAATTTATAAAAAATCAATAAAATCAGTAAAAATTTGAGAATGAAGTAAAAAGGGTAAACTATCCACTTATATATCTTGACAGGGATCATTGATTTCATTGATTTTGGGGATTTCATTGATTTTCAAGGGTTGATTTTTTTAATATAGTTATGGGTGGTGGAGATACTAATTTGTGTCTAACTCTTCCTATTATCTTCAAAAATTTATCCTTTGAATTTCATAAAATAAAAAATGAATGAAAAGATATTTCACATATTATTATTTTAAAAATTAAATATTTAAGAAAAAACCTCAATTTATACCATCAATTCTACAAATAATTTTCAATTATTATGAGAAGAACAGTTCTTTCTTGGTAAATTTAAAAATATAATAATGTATACATTGAATTTTTGTACAAGCATTCGGGTCAAATGGGTTATTCGGGTTATTCGAGTTGGGTTTGGTTCGGTTACGGGTTATTTGGATTATGAATCATTCGGGTTATAGATGGGTCGGGTAATGGATTGGATCGAATAATGAGTTCATCGAGTTATGGGTTGATCGGGATTACGGGTCAATTGGTTTCGGGTTACATGCGGGCTTCGGGTGGTTGACTTTTTGTCAAATCAGGTTACGGACAGGTTGTGGATTTAGTGGGTTGGACGGGTTAGTTGGGTCGGGTTCAATTTTGACAGCTCTACATTTGATCGTTGGTCAAAACGCACGAAGCGGACATTTGAAATATGGACGAAACTGGCGGTTGACCACTGGTTAAATCGCGTTTGACCGTTCCTTTGATCAGTGTTTGTTTATCATGCTTTCACCTAGTGCCAGAGGAAGACCTATTAGTCGATGTGTATGAGTGGTCTGTATGTGTACATAATATAGTTTGTATGTGTGTAGTGGGTAGTAGGACTTTGTACGTGGGTTTTCATATAGCCCATTGTGAGTATACGTGTGTGGTGATTGAGCCACACATCCCTTTGACCATGCAGCCCATGCAACTCTCCTTGGGCACGACCGATTAGAGGTAGTGGGGGAACCTTGTGAGATATATGTGTATAAGAGAGGAGTTTGGAAATTGTAAGGGTATAGTGAATAATCATTAGTCTCTCGAAGAGTTCAAACTCGATCTTCCGTGGATTAGTCTTGGAATTCCAGAGATACCACGTAAATCAGTTGTCTCTGTCATTTATTTCCTTCGCTTAGTCTGTGATTTATTTACATGGTATCAGCCATGTCAATGGAATCGGATAAACCTTCTGTTCGCCTCACCTCCACTAACTACTCTCTATGGGAGTTCCAATTTCGCATCTTTGTGGAAGGACGGGTTTCTGCTTAGCGTGCTAGATGGTACCGCTGCTAAGCCCGCAACGACGGCGTCTCTTCATGAGTTATCGACCTGAAATCAGAATGATGCAAGGGTTAGGTCTTGGTTGCTCGGATCTCTAGATCCTTCTACTTTCCTAAGTCTTCGACTATTTTCTACTGCTAATCAGATGTAGAAGCACTTGACCTCCACTTACTCAACGGTGAACACCGCTCGACAATTCAAAGTTCAGCTATCATTGGCACGATTTGAGCAAGGAGATCTCTCCATTACAGAGTATTTTAATCTTTCTCAGGAGTTATGGACCTAACAAGACCTGTTAACCGCTGCTCTACAATCCGAACCTCCTTCTAAAGCTACGCTGGCGGAAAGACGAAGCACTCATCTGCTTAACTTCTTGATGAGACTCCGGCCAGAATATGAATCAGTAAGTGCCACATTGTTGTATAAGGATGAGCTTCTATTTGATAATACTTAGTCATATGGTTCAAGAGGAGATTCGACTTCGAACTCAAGCACAACTTGATATCCGGCCCGGTGAAGGGGAGGCGGTGATCTCTGCAGCTACTTCCGATCAGTCCGCCTATGAAACTGGTAGACCTCAATTTCAACAGCGCCTTCCTACCTCTGAGGTAATTTGTCATCACTATAGAAAGATAGGGCATGTTGTCAAACACTGTCGTCGGCGCAATTACTGCATTTATTGCAAGAGACCATGTCATATCATATTGGATTGCCGAAGCCATTAACGAAATAAAGCACGAGTTGCTTGACTTGCTCCTACCGTCACTCTAGAAAATGGCCAAGTGTAACCACCTCCTAAAGCGTAGTATAGCGGGTTTGGGTTTTAATGTCAACCCGGGTCCTAAGTGTGATGACTACTCCGTGAGTTCTTATTATTTAACGATGACAGTGTAGTGAAGGTCCAAACAAGCAAAGCAGTTAAAGGTTGTTTTCAAGTTGAGAGAGGTCACCCAGATATGGTTCCCCCTAGACTGCAGTTAAGCCGGATTGTAATTTACCAAGTTCAATTTCAATGATAGTTATACTGCGGGAGGTTCTTAAACAGCCTGCAGTCCCGACTAAAGGTCTCCAGACCCTCTCAATCTGAGTCCCCAGCAGGCGACTAACCTCCACCGGAGTAAACAAATTGAGGCCCTAACGAACCAAACCTCCACTACCGAAGTAAATCCGGTACAGAATAGTGAATTGACTTCTCGACTAAAGTCGTCAATTCACTACCTTCAATCAAGGGTGCTCTATCAACCTAGGCATATATTCTCTTTCTAGGTTAAAGCAGAAACAACAGGAATTTGATCAGGATTCATGCCATTCAACAAATCAAACCTCAATTGAATATAAGCATATCACTGAATCTGTACTTGGGTTCATACAATCAAACCTAACATACAAATCTAGGGTTCTTCATACCCAGGTCCATAGAGAGAGATGGGAAATCTAGCTCAGATGCGAAAACCATACTGTGAAGGATGAGATTCTGCTTCTGGCACTCAATCAGCTCTTCTCCAAGCTCAATCCAGGCTCCAATGGTGATGGAGATCGATCTAGGCACTTGAAGAATCAGGTTTGTCACTTTCTCTCTCTAGGTATACACTTTTTCTCTCTAAAACTCGGTTCCCCTCTCCTTTGGCTTGAAATTGGGTTAAAACCCAGAATTTCCCGACCACGCGGCCGTGTGGATCCCCAGGCTGCCAGTGTGGATGTTCAAACGCGGCGTTTCACTTAAGTGGCTTCAGGTACGCTACACGGCCAAAACCACACGGCCGTGTGGATTTCCAATCTGGTCATGTGAGTTCCCTGGACTTTCCAGGTCCCCTACACGGACAGTGTGGCTTGCCCGTGCAAATTGGTGCCACACGGCCAAGTCACACGGCCGTGTGGGATTTTAGGCGTGCCCGTGTGAGTTCCTCATCTTCTCGCCAAACGTCCAATCTTCGTCCAATCGACCTAGAACTCGTTACCAAGCCTTCATTCATGTACTAGGACCTGAAATATCACAAACAAGAATAACCTAGCGTGAAATCGTCCTAAAACACGAGAATTAGGACTCAAACGGTACAAGAATGGTAGACAAAACATGTGTATATATCAAGTGATCAAATTCCCCCACACTTAACCAATTGCTTGTCCCCAAGCAAACCTAACTCAAACCAATGCAACTCTGCAGACCTCTATAGCAACAAATAGCCCCGATCGTCGGTAGAGGATTTCCTAGATCATATAGCAGCTTACGAGGTCAACTAGTCTTCTAAGACGTCCCCTATCTCTCTCAATGCGAGTACTAGACTCAAGCCAAGATCATGAGAAGAAATGGAAATAAGACAGTCAGTTTGTTCATGGATAAAGGGACTCACACCATTCACAACCAAGGACTCGTTGTACCGGGGTGCTCTTTCACTTCATTTCACCGTTGGAACCCCTTTTTTGCACTTTCATTTACATTTCTTTTTCTTTTTTCTTCATTCACTTGCCGGGGGTTCCAACTGCAGTCTTTTGCACGGTCGACCCTTATTAGTCGAGCAAGAGCAATTTCTGTACATCTGGCGCTCGCCAGAGTACTTCTTTTAACTCCTTTTCCTCAACTCGTGTGGAGGGTCAATGAAATTAAGGGGGGTCGGAATCTCTATCCGTGCCCTTAAAAACACATCCTCAAGTAGGCAAAGCGTTCAACGGGTGGAAGTTTTACTTGTACTATAGACAACTTAGCTTCACCTTGTAGGAGTACCCCACTAAGGATCAGTAATATCTCTTCCAAAACCCGATTTTGTGCAATGAATGGTTCCACACAGGTTGGGCTTACCCCATGTTTAAGATTTCAATGATTTCTACATGGAGGACCAACTGCTTTTCATTTCCCATATGAGCACCCTGTTCGATACACGAGTCCATAACACAATCCAAACAGAGTCACCATTACCACATGAATTCAACGGTCTTAGCTCCACTAATCCAAAAAATCAACTGGCACAATAGAGAGCTAGATAGGAAAAATCTTATACTTCAACATCCTCCATAGTGCTACACTACCTCCCTAGGTTGCACATTACTATATAGACTTTCAATTCAAAGCATACTGAGGAGGCAATTTGCAAGAAAACACGTACTTGGAGCCCTCAAATTTAAAAATTTGGACAGTGGACTAGGCTCCAAGCACACAAACAGATCTAATGCAGTCAAAAGAGAAAGATCTTCCCCACACTTAAGTTCGACATTGCCCTCAATGGAGAAGAGGGAAGGATAAGGGGAACGATGTTACCGGTGTGCACGGACTGCATGAGACTGGAAGGGAACCAGTCTGAGTGAAGAGGACTGGAGAGGGGACCAGTCAAGGACACAGGCACAGCTAAAGGGAACAG